AGTTAAAATAGGGCCTAAAACCATCAATTGCATGTTCTTTGGATATGCTAATAACAATAGTACTTATCGATTCCTCATACATAAGTCTGACATTCCGGATGTAATGAAAATACTATTCTTGAATCTATGAATGCTTCATTTTTTAAGAACATTTTTTCTTGTAAGGATAGAAAATAGACAAGTTCGCAAAAACAAACTTATGATACTACAATTTGTAATTATCGAAGTGATGAAGAACCAAGATGTAGCAAAAGGACCAAAAATCTACATCTTTTGGTCCAGATTTTTTAACTTATTTGTTAGAAAATGAACCTAGCACATTCAATGAAGCAATATCTAGTTCAGAAGCTCCCTTTTGGTAAAAGGATATCAATTGTGAAATTGATTCTATTATACAGAATCAAACCTGGGAGTTGGTGGATCTCCTACCGGCAACAAACCGTTAGGTTGTAAATGATTTTCAAAAGAAAATTAAAGACTGACAAATCAATTGATAAATATAAGGTCAGATTGGTAGCTAAAGGATTCAAACAAAAAGAAGGCCTTGATTATTTGGATACATACTCAACTGTGACAAGGATAACATCTATTAGAGTATTAATTGCAATCACAGTGTTGCATAATTTGGAAATCCATGAGATGGATGTCAAAATAGCTTTCTTAAATGGTGAGCTAGAAGAAGAAATTTACATGGAACGACCCGAAAGGTTTATTGCTCTTGGACAGGAGAAAAATTTGTGGTCTTGTTAAGTTGCTATACGGACTAGCGAAGCACCAAAACAATGGCATGCAAAATTTGACAAAACTATGTTGTCAAATGGTTTTAAGATTAACGAGTGTGAGAAATGTGTTTCTATTAAAACCACACCCAATGCAAATGTAATTGTATGTGTATATGTTGACAAAATGCTAATTATGGGTAGTAATTGTGATATCATAACAACTACCAAAAAAATGTTGACAAAACATTTTGACATTGAAGATATGGGTATTGCAAATATAATATTAGAAATTAAAATTCTTAAAACATTTGAGGGACTTGTTCTATTTCATTCTCACTATATTGAAACTGTATTTAAAAAGTTTCATATATATGATGAAAATCCAGTTAAAATACCGGTAGACTTAAGTCTACATTTGGCCATACATAAAGGCAAGCCCGTATCTCAATTAGAGTACTTTCGGATAATAGGCAGTCTAATGAATATTATAAAACTAAAGTTGTCTAGATATTGCATATACATTGAACAAGTTTAGTAGATTTACAAATAACACAAACAATGACCATTGGAAGGCACGGGTAAGGGTTCTTAGATATCTACGACACACCTCAAATATTGGATTACATTATACTAGATACCTAGCTATATTAAAAGGATACAATGATGCTAATTGGATATTAGATACAAAAGACTCAAAATCCACTAATAGGTATAGTTTTACCATTGGTGCTGCGACTGTATCTTGAAAATCCTCTAAACAAA